GTGGCTAGCTAGCTCCAGTGGCTGGCTAGCCGTAAACAGCAGCTAGCCAGCTGCAGTGGCTAGCCAACCAGCAATCGTGGCTAGCTCGCTACAGCGGCTAGCTAGCCGCGGCGGCTAGCTAGCCACAGTGGCTAGTTAGTTACAGCGGCTAGCTAGCCAAAGTGGCTAGCTAGCTACTGTGGCTAGCTAGCCACTGCAGCTAGCCACAGCTAGCCACCTCAGCGCTGCTGAGTACCCGCGCCGTAGTGCCTGTGCGCACCAGCTAGCGCAGAAACAGCAAAGAACTTCTTCCTAGCTAGCTAGCTAGCTGGCGAGCTAGCTAGCTAGCTGGCTAGCTAGCTAGCTGGCTACCTAGCTCGCCAGCTAGCTAGCTTTTTAGCTAGGTAGCTGGCTACCTGGCTCGCTAGCTAGCTAGCTTTTAAGCTAGCTAGCTGGACACCTAGCTAGCTAGCTAGCTGGATACCTAGCTAGCTAGCTAGCTGGCTGGCTAGGTAGCTAGCTGGTCACCCAGCTCGGTAGCTAGCTAGCTTTTTAGCTAGCTAGCTGGGTGCCTAGCTGACTGGCTAGCTAGGTGGCCAGTTAGCTACATGCAGTGGTGGCTAGCCAGCAGCCCTGCACTGTTCTAGATGATGCTTCAGCGTCGTCCAATAGCAGCAGCAGCTGCAAGCAGCAGCAGCAGCAGCAGCAGCAGCAGCGACAGGCAGCAGCAACACGCTGGAGACAAAGGCAGCAGCGGGAAAAGCAGCTGCCTTTCAGCTGCTGCTGCTGCTTCTGCTGCTGCGCATAGATGCGCAGCAACTGCCCTTTAGATAATCTACTGCTGTGGAGAGGCGCTGCACGTAGCAGCTGCAGCAGCAGATGCTGCTGCTGCTGCAGCAGGGTATGTGGAGTACCGTGGGTAGTATACCTTCGCGGCACCCCAGCTAGCTAGCTGGGCAGCTAGGCAGCTAGCCACCTAGCTAGCTGCCTACCTACGTAGCCAGCTCCGTGCCTGTATAGTTCTCTAGCTAGCTATCTGGCCAGCTAGCTAGCTAGCTAACTAGCTAGCTAGCTGCTGAAGGGGGAGGCTGTGAGGCTGTGCAGCTCGCGGCTAGAGGCTGCTGGCGCGAAGGCGGACGCAGCTGGCTGGCTAGTTTGTTGGCTAGCTGGCCAGCTGCAGCTAGCTAGCTGGCTAGCTAGCTAGCTGTAGCACAGGTATAGCCTGTGGCACTATGGACGGCTGTAGGTCAATTGAGTGGCTCGTGGCGCTTAGCTGTGAACAAAAGGAGAAAAATAATTTTAATTTTAAAAATATAAATTTAAAAGTGAATGCGAAATTATAAAACTTTTAATTTTACGAAATTAAATTTAGAAATAAGTGCAAAGTTATTAATAAATGCTTTTCATTTTCCTGAATGCACCGGGGGCGGCTCTGTTGTCTGTTGGGGTTAATGTGAATGAAAAGCGCGAATATAAATTAATTTTAAATTTTAAATTAAATTAAATTAAAATAAAGAATTAATTTTTAATGAGTAATCGAAATTAAGAGAAAACGAACGCAGATATGCATGTCAGGTTTGCAGGAAAACATGAAAAGATCTGAAACCCCGTCGTGATGCAAGATGGTCCTTGTGGCGGCGAAAACACGGAAACGACGCGTCTTTTGATTTATTTAAATTAATAAATTGAAATGAATAAAAATGTAGTTTAAAATTAACATAAATTAAGGCAAAGAAGCAGAAAAAGAAAGAGTTCAAACAGCCCACACCCCATAACTACTCCTGGGGGTCTGGGTGTATGCGCAGCTGCAGGCCACGCGAGCAGCAAAACAAAAAGGAAAAGAATTAATTAATCATTAATAATAAAACTTTAAAAAGTAATATATATTTCTTCAAAAAGAAATTGAGTTCGATGAGCAGCAGCTGGGGCACCACAACGCGTCCACAGCAGCAGCAGCAGCAGCAGCAGCAGAAACTGCAGCAGCAAGTGTGCGCACATGCAGAGGAGTGATACATAATTTAGAAAGACAAACAAAGAGCTATACTGCGCCTTCTCAGCAGGGTATTTGTGTGGCGGTTTAGGGCTTAGGATCCCCAGTGAGGGTTTAGGGTTTAGGGTTTAGGGTTTGGGAGACAGCCGTGCCGGTGTAGCTCAGTCGGTAGAGCGCGAGGCTCTTAACCTCGTGGTCGCGGGTTCGAGCCCCGTCGTCGGCTTTATTTAGCTCTCATTAGATTTTGTTTTACACAAACCCTAAACCCTAAACCCTAAATCAGGGTTTACTCGCCAGACACGCGCGCTATACACTGATTTCGGGTTTAGGGCCCTCTCACGTGCGCTCTTCTTACTCAGTAGCCACGCTCGGCAGCAGCAGAAGGTGCAGCAGCACCAAGCGCAGCAGCAGCTGCAGCAAATGCAGCAGCAGCTGCAGCAACACTGAAATCTCAACGGAAAACGCGTCCACCGGGAAAAACCCTAAACTCTGAACCCTAAACCCTAAACCCTGAGGCTTTAGTGTGCTGCAGGCTGCAGCAGAACAGCAGCATGCGGCCAGGCATGATGGCCTGCCCCCGGCAAGAAGAGCAGCAGCAGCAGCAGCAGCCGCAGCAGCAGCAGCAGCAGCAGGACGTCGACGGCAGCGCGGAAACGCGCCAGCCACCTGCTGCGCACGTCCCTGCAACGGCAGCAGCAGCAGAAACAGCAGCAGCAGCAGCAACAACAAGAGCGGCAGCAGTAGCAACAACAGCAGCAGCAGCAGCAGCAGCAGCAAGTCTCCTCCCTTGGCAGCAGCGCACTGCTGCTCTCGTGAGCGACTCGAGCTCGGACGGCGCCGTGTCGCCGCGCGCAGCAGCAGCAGCAAGGCAAGCAGCAGCAAAACAAGCAGCAGCAGCAGCAGCAGCAGCAGCACCTTTTTCTTTCTTTGTCAAGAAGCAGCAAACAAGGGCCATGGTCCTCGCCAGGGGGCCCCCAGGCCGCCCTTTAGCTGCCAGCCAGCGGCTGCCTCTTGCTGCTGTGCTGCAGTGCTTGGCGGTGGTTTGGCAGGCCGCCTAAACCCTAAACCCTAAACCCTCAGAGGGGCTAGCAGCAGCAGCAGCTGCTGCTGCTGCTGCTGCTGCGACAGCCAGAGCGCTGGCTTGCGGCGGAAGATTGCCGCAGAAAGAGCTAGCTACGCAGCAACAGCAGCAGCAACAGCAGCAGTAGCAGCAGCAACAGCAACAGCAACAGCAAAGGCAGCAGCAGGGAGAGCCGCAGCAAGGAGAGTAGCAGCAGCTTCAGCGCAAGTGCAGCCAAGGGATATACGTCGGGAATGAATAAACTAAAAGTTGTAACTGTTGAAGCTCAGCTAGCTAGCTGGCTAGCTAGCTAGCTAGCTAGCTAGCTAGCTAGCCAGTTATAGCTAGCTAGCAGCTAACTACCAGCTAGCTAGCTGGTAGCTAGCTGGCAGCTAGCTGCCGCAGCGGCTGGCTGAGGCGTGGCTGGCTAGCTAGCTGCTATCTACCTGCAGCAGCGGCTAGCTGAGCTGTAGCTAGCTAGATAGCTAGCTAGCTAGCTAGCTAGCTAGCCACCTAGCTAGCTGCTGTTCTGCTAATCTGCTGCAGCAAACGTGCAGAAGGCGGGGAGGCGCTGCGGCGGCTTAGCTTGAAACCTTGAGAAGCAGCAGCAGCAGCAGCAGCAGCAGCGCATTATGTAGTAGCAGCAGTAGCACATGATATAGCAGCAGCAGCAGCACATTTGTAGAGCTGCAGCAGCAAAAGCATGGATTTGGCGCAGCAGCAGCAGCAGAAGCTGCTGCTGCTGCAGCAGCAGGTGACAGCAAAGGCGTGAGGGCTCACCACAGTTACTTTGCGTGTCTTCTTGAAGCTCGTTAGCAGCTCAGACATCGCCTTCTGAAGCAGCAGCAGCAGCAGCAGCAGCAATGTGGAGTCGCAGCAGGCGTTTGCAGCTGTAGAGAGCACTGCCGTGCGTGGCAGTGGCACCCACAAAGCTCCATTTAGGGTTTAGGGTTTAGGGTTTGGGGCTTGCCTGGGTCTGGATTTGTTTTCCTCTTGCCTTTTGATTCGCCCTCTGCGGCCACAGCAGCAGCAGCAACAGCAGCAGCAGCAGCACCGGCAGCACTAGAATGCGTCGTGTCTTTCAAGCTGAGACAGCACCTTCAGCAGCAGCAGCAGCAGCAGCAGCAGCAAAGTGCCGCAGCGGTAGTACCAAAACGCAGCTCCTCCTCCAGCAGCAACAATAACAGAAGGCGGGAGTAGGAACAGCAGCAACAGCAGCAGCAGCAGCAACAGCAGCAACAGCAGCAGCAGCAGCAGCTGTACCGTCAGCTCATCTTTTTTCTTGAGGAAGCAAAGCGTTTGTATCTGCAGCCGGTGCTTCTCCTGAGCTGCCAGCTGCAGCAGCAAGTACACGCCATGCAAACTGCTGCTGCTGCTGCTGCTGCTGCTGCTTCGAGCAAACGTGCTGCTGCTGCTACAACTGCCAGCACAGCTGCTGCTGCTGCTGCTGCAGTCTCACCTGCCACGCTTGCTGCCTCTTCGTCACTTCAGCTCGCTGGAGACCGCACAAATGGGGCCCACCAAAACCCTAAACCCTAAACCCTAAACCCTGATTGGTCAGCACAGGTGGAGCGTCTCTAAACCCTAGACCCTGAACAACAAACCCCAAGTAAGCAGCACGAAAAGAATACCCTTCTATGTTTTCTGGTTTTAGGGTTTGGGGTTTAGGGTTTAGGGTTTAGGGTTAAGGGTTTACAGTGTTTCTGATGCGCAGGTGGAGGCGAGATATCTCCTTGTTGACCAGCTCATTTTCCCGTTTCCTGTTGAAGCAGCAGCAGCAGGAGCTACAGCAGCAGCAGCTACAGCAGCAGCAGCTACAGTAGCAGCAGCTACAGCAGCAGCAGCTACGGCAGCAGCAGCAGCAGCTACAGCAGCAGCAGCAACAGCTGCAGCAGTGGCAGATAGCGAACTGGCAGCACGAAGAGGGCCAGCAGCAGCAGCATTAGCAGCAGCAAGGGCCACAGTACTTGCCCTGCAAACCCTGTGTATTTATTTCACGAGGGTTCAGGGTTTAGGGTTTAGGGTTTAGGGTTTAGGGTTTGTTACAGGCCGTCTCTGTAACGCTTAGTAGACAAGAGGCGAGACTCCTCCTCTTCCTTTTCTTTTTTCTCTGCGAAGTTAACCACTAAACCCTAAACCCTAAACCCTCAAAGGCCAGCCCTACCTCTTAGTGCTAGCCAACGCCGGCTGCTGCACTTCCTGCGGCCTTTCTGAAGTAGGCGCTGAGGGTTTAGGGTTTAGGGTTTGGGGTTTGAAGTGGGGGATTAAGGGTTTAGGGTTTGGGGTGTGGATCTGCGGCTTTTCGGAAGTAGGCGTTGAGGGTTTAGGGTTTAGGGTTTGCGGTTTGCAGTAGAGGGTTTAGCGTTCAGGGTTTGGGGTGTGAACTTGAGGAATTGGGGTTTAGGGTTTAGGGTTTAGGGTTTAGGGTTTACCTGCTGCTAACTCTCTGCGTAAAGCCTTCAGCTTATTTCCTTTAGAGGCATTAAAGGCTTTTAGCGAAAGCTGTTCTTCCTTTGTCTCACTTAGCTTCTCCCTGCAGCAAACCCTAAACCCTAAACCCTAATGTGGTGGCGCTAGGGCATCCCTCGAGCTTCCCTTCAGTAGAAACCCTAAACCCTAAACCCTAGCTTCTAGACTGAAGCTGAAAAGGGGCGTGGATGCGGCGCAGTGCGCGTCTTTGAGGGATTAGGGTTAAGGGTTTAGGGTTTAGGGTTTGGGAAACCTCAGCTGAGCGACGAGAGAGGTTAGGGTTTGCAGCTCTTCTGCCTTTCGAGTTGCTTCTTCTACTATTTTTGTAAACCGCAAATTTGCTGCTGCTGCTTCCGCGCTCAGCGCAGCTCGTAGGCGGCTGCTCTCAAACAAAGGCCCCTCCCGCGTCATTTTGCTGCTGCTGCTGCTGCTGTGGCTGCGGCGGCTGCTGAGTTGCTGCTGCTGCTGTGGCTGCGGCGGCGGCTGAGTTGCTGCTGCTGCTGTGGCTGGAGCTGCTGCTGTTGCCGTGGCCGCTGCTGTGGCTGTGGCTGTGGATGCTGCTGTGGCGATTGCAGCTGCTGCTGTTGCTGCTGCTGCTGCTTCTGGCTTATGCCGATCTTGCAGGCACTGCGGCTGCTGCTGCTGCCAGATGCTCCCTGAGGGGATCGCGAGCAGCAGATGCTGTTCTGCTGCTGCTCCTGCTGTCACTGCTGTTCCTGCTGCTGTTGCTGCTGCCGTCGATGCTGTTCCTGCTGCTGTTGCTGCTTCTGCTAGCTGCTGCTGCTAGCAGGCAAACTCCCACCGCTGCGCAGTAGGAGTGTATGCGTAGCAGTGGAGGGCTTTCAAGTCCTAACCCGTTTGATGCAAACCCTAGACCCTAGATTGTAAACCCTAAACCCTTATCTCTAAACCGCAAACCCTCAGTTTGCAATTTGCTGGGGTGCGTAGCTGCCGCCGTGCCTCTGTCTTGCGTCTCGGTGGCTAGCTGCTGCAGCGCCCAGGCAGGGTTTAGGGTTTAGGGTTTAGGGTTTGGGGGGTTGGTTGAATAAAAAGATGTGTTTGTTCTTGTTTTTGAGGCACTCAATGCAGCGGCAGAAACAGCAGCAGCGGCGACAGCAGCAGCAGCAGCAGCAGCAGCAACTTGCTGCTGGTTCTGAGGCCTCTGGTGACCCCAAGGTCACCTTGAGCGGGAAACCCTTGAAACAACAGACGGGACAAAAGGCACTGAAGGACTTTAGGGTTTAGGGTTTAGGGTTTAGGGTTTAGGGTTTAGCTGCTTCCCTCTTAGACAAACCACTGGGCCTCCGCCGACCGCTGCTGCTGCTGCTGCGGTGTTGCGCTCACCTGCAGTGCCGGCCAAAACCCAACGCCCTAAACCCTAAACCCTAAACCCTAAACCCTAATCCCCTTTTCTTTAACTATCAAAAAATTTGTATTTGGTCAACACACTGCTCAGGGCTTAGGGTTTGGAGGTTACGGATCACGGTTTGCTGCCGCCGCCCTTACCGGGGCTCCTCGAAGCCCTGCTGCTGCTGTTGCTGCTGCTGATGTTGCGGCTGCTGTTGCTAGTGCTGCTGTAGCTCCTGCAGCTGTTGCTGCCGCTGCTGCTGCTACAGAAGTACTTGGGTTAGCTGCAGACCCTAAACTAGCCGATAAGTGCAGCAGGGGAAATCTCTTGGGGAACCCGTTCCGCCGGGGAACCCTAAACCCTAAACCCTAAACCCCAAACGCTAAACCCTAAACCCTCATTTGGCTCTTTTCTCATTCCGAAGAAGATCTATGAAAGCCCCCCTAAGGGCGGCAGAGGCGCAGCTACACAAAAAATGAGCAAGAGACAGAGAAAATAGCTGACGATCTGCTGCTGCTGCTCTTGCTGCTGCTGCTGCTCTTGCTGCTGCTGCTGCTCTTGCTGCTGCTGCTGCTGAGGCTGCTCCACAGCAAGACACCTTTGCTGCAACACAAGTGGCGCTGCTGCTGCCCGTCTGCAGCGAGGTGCAGCAGCAAACCCTAGACCCCTTAAATCCTGTGCCCTCTAGGCCCTAAACCCTAAACCCTAGCACTGAGCTCCTCTTCGTCAGAGCAGCAGCTGCAGGACGGGCAGCTAAATCTGAGCAGCAGCAGCAGCTGCTGCTGCTGCCTCAGCAACAGCAGCACCAGCCCCAGCAACTGCAGCACCCGCTGCTGCAAGGGCAGCAACTGCAGCACGCCCAGCTGCGGGGGCAGCAGCAGCAGCGACAGCAGCAGCAGCTGCTGCTGCTGCTGCAGCGCCAGCAACAGCAGCAGCAGCAGCAGCAGGGTTTGCTGCAATGGAGGGGCTGATCCAAGCCCCCGAGCTGGACACTCTTGAGGAGCAGCTGCTGACGAAAAAAGAAAAGAAAGAAAGAAGCAGCAAAAGGCTGTTGGAAGCAGCAGAAGCAAACAGCACAGAAAGGGCCCTTGCGCTCCTCAAGGAAGGCGCAGACCCCGCAGTCGAAGTAAACCCTAAACCCTAAACCCTAAACCCTAAACCCTAAACCCTGGGCCGCGAGCTCTTGCTTCAAACGCCGTTTCTCTCGTCAGCGCCGGCCCTTTAAAAGGCACATTGGGCTTCACGATTTGGGGTTTAGGGTTTAGGGTTTAGGGCTGACCGTCTAGGGTTTAGGGTTTAGGGATTAGGGTTTAGGGTTTGGCGCTGCAGGGCGCGGGGCAGTGGACTGCGCTGCAGTGGGCGGTGGTCAATGGCAACGAGCTGCTGGTGCGGCAGCTGCTGAGCTGCGGGGCAGCAGAACCCCTGCTGCAGCTGCAGCAGCAGCAGCAGCAGCAACAACAACAACAGCAGCAGCAGCATCAGCAGCTCTCCATCGAGGCGCAGCCGTGGGAGCTGCCGCCACAGCTGCAGCAGCTGCTGCAGCAGGAGCAGCAAAGGAGGCAGCAAGCAAGAGACAGAAGGCTGCACCATGTGCAGAAGGCCCCCGAAGAGGTCCCCTCTGCTGCAGCTCGCGCAGCAGCAGCTGCAGCTGCTGCTGCTGCTGCAGCTTCGGCGGCAGCCGCTGCTGCTGCTGCTGCAGCGCCGCCCGAGAAGCCAGCGCCGGCCTCAGCAGCAGCAGCAGCAGCGTCGGCGCAGCAGCAAGAGCCGCAGCAGCAACAGGGGAGCAATGGAGCGGCGGCATCAGCAGCAGCAGCAGCAACAGCAGCAGGAACAGCAGCAGCAGCAGGAACAGCAACACCACAAACAGCAGCAACAACAGCAGCAACAACAGCAGCAGCAGCCTCAGGGGAACACCAGAAGCAATCTCCTCGTGCTCGGCCAGCAAGGAGAAAGTACTCTCCTCTGTGTGGCTTCTAACCCTGAGTTCTGCATCCCAAACCCTAAACCCTAAACCCTAAACCCTAAACCCTAGGACCTAAAGCCTAAACCCTTAGCGGCATGCAGTCGGGTGCAGCAGGCAGCTTTGGAAAGAGCTGCTGCAGCGTACTGCTCTTGAACTCATTCAGAGCGCTCCTCATAAAATTAGGGTTTAGGGTTTAGGGTTTAGTGTTTAGGGTTTAGGGTTTGTGTGCAGCCACTGGGCAGCATTCAAGGGCCACACGCGCATTTTGCATTTGCTGCTGAAGGCGGGGCTTTCTCCTTTTGACACTGACCTCTTCGGAAACACTTTGCTGCACCAAGGTTAGCAGCAGCGGCTGCTGCTGCTGCTGCTGTAGCTGCTGCTGCTGCTGCTGCTGCTGCTGTAGCTAGAGTTGTTGTGGCCACGGACGCATTTGCTGTTGCTGTTGCTGCTGCTGCTGCTGCTGCTGTTGACTCCGCTGGTCTGATCGTTTTATCTTCGTGTCGAGAGCCACCAGAGGCCTAGCATTCCTGCCGCTGCTGCTGCTGCTGCTGCTGCCGCTGCTGCTACTGCTGCTGCTGCAGCTGCTGCTGGAGGATCTCTCGAAACAGTAAAGGCCGTACTGGGCCTGGGGGTCCCAGTGGAGGCGAAGAACGCGAGGGGACACACTGCAGCAGCTCTTGCTGCTGTGAGTGTTGCTGCTGCTGCTGCTGCTGCTGCTGCTGCTACTGCTGCTGCTGCTACTGCTACTGCTAGTGCTGTTGCTGCTGTTGCTGTTGCCGCTGCTGTTGCTGTTGCCACTGCTGTCGCTGCATCTCCACCTTCTTCCAGGGTGGACTTTGCCTAGCTGCTGCTGCTGCTGCTGCTGCTGCTGCAGGAAGACGACTGCCGCGCGCTGCTGGAAGCAGCAGCAGCAGCAGAGCGCTGCCCACTAACTGGCATCGCCTTTTCTTATAAACGCATGCGCTACCTCTGTTCTTTCACTTTGGAGTTCTACGCCAAGGCAAACCCTAACCCTAAACCCTAAACCCTAAACCCTAAACCCTTGTCGTAAACCCTAAACCCTGAACTCTTGAAAGTTCTGCTACCTAATTTGTCTCAGGAAGCTGTGCGTCTCTTTTGGGTTTTTGAAACCCCCGAATCGACAGACTGCGACAAGCTCATCACCTGGTAAACCCTAAACCCTAAACCCTGAACCCTAAACCCTTGGTTTAAAGTTAAAATCAATCCCTCAGCGGTTTTGGGAAAAGTGGCGTTTCGCCTCTTCGCAGAAAAACCCTTGCCAAGTCTAGACTGATGCCAGTCAGGTTGCTTGCAGCTGCTGCTGCTGTTGCTGTTGCTGCTGTTGCTGCTGCTGCGGTTGCTGCTGCTGCTGCTGCGCAGGTGTGACCTTGCGCAGCGTTCCTCGCTGGCGGCGGAGCAGCGGCTTGTTGCTGCTTTTGAAGAAGGAACCCTAGATGCTCTGCAGCAGGTACGCTGCTGCTGCTGCTGCTGCTGCTGCTGCTGCTTTTGCTGCTGCTGCTTTTGCTGCTGCTGTTTTTGCTGCTGCTGCTTTTGCTGCTGCTGTTTTTGGTGCTCCTGCTGCTTCTACTAAACGGCTAGCTGATAGCTAGCTGGTGGCTAGCTGTTGAATAGCTAATGACTAGCCGGCAGCTGTTAAGTAGCTGGTAGCTAACTGATAGCTAGCTGATGGCTAGCTGGCAGCTAGCTGGCAGCTAAGTAGCGGCTAGCTACTAGCTAACTAGCGGCTAGCTACTAGCTAGCTGCTGGCTAGCTGTTGGCTGGCTTCTGACTAGCTGTTGGCTACCTGATGGCCAGCTGCTAGCTAACTGGCAGCTAACTAGCAGCTAGCTACTAGCTACCTACTATCTATCTAGCTAGCTAGCTTGCTAGCTAGCTAGCCGTTGGCTAGCTGTTGGCTAGCTGCTAGCTAACTGGTAGCCAACTAGCAGTAGCTACTAGCTAGCCAGCTAGCTAGCTAGCAAGCTAGCCAGCTAGCAAGCTAGCTAGCTAGCTGTTGGCTAGCTGTTGGCTAGCTGTTGGCTAGCTGCTAGCTAACTGGCAGCTAGCTAGCAGCTAGCTACTAGCTAGCTAGCTAGCTAGCTAGCTAGCTGTTGGCTAGCTGTTGGCTAGCTGTTGGCTAGCTGCTGGCTAGCTGTTTGTCAGGCTTATCGCGAAACCGAAGGCTCTCCGCTGGACTGCCGCGCGGAAGCTTTGCTGCAGAGAGAAACCAAAAGGCTCCGCGTAGAGGCCCACATCAGGCGCGCGCTGCTGTTTGCCGTGCGTTTGCTGCTGCTGCTGCTGCTGCTGCTGCTGCTGCTGCTGTTTTTGCTGTTGCTGCTGTTGTTGTTGTTGTTGACGTTGTTGCTGTTGCTGTTGTTGTCGTTGCTGCTGCTGCTGCTCTTGGCGCTGCTGCTGCTGCTGCTGCTGCTGCTGCTGCTTGTAGTGCTGCTGCTGGCGCAGGCGGCGGTAGTGGTGCTGCTGCTGCTCCTGCTAGTACTGCTGCTGGCGGCGCTGCTGCTGCTGCTGGCACTGCTGATGCTGCTTTTGCTGCTGCTGCTGGCGGTGCTGCTGCTGGTAGTGGAGCTGCTGCTGCAGAGGGCTCTGACTGCGCTGCTGTGGAAGCGGCTGGTGCTTCTGCTGCTGCTGCTGCCTAGGTTCTTGCTGCTGCTGCTGCCTAGGTTCTTGCTGCTGCTGCTGCGTTGCTGCTCGTGCAGCCATAAAGGCCTTCTGCACTAATGTTGCTGCAGCTGCTGCAGCAGCAGCAGCAGCAAGTTAGACTGTCCCTTGTGCTTCAGGAGGAGCTGCAGCAAAGCTATACGAAGCAGAAGGACTCCCAAGAAAGCGGCGAAGCACTGCAGCAGCAGCATCAGCAGCAGCCCGCGGAGGAAATACCTGCACAGGAACCAGGAAGCCCGAAGGAGCAGCAGCAGCAGCAGCAGCAGAGTGAAGAAGAGCAGTTGATGCACAATGAGCAGAGTGGGTTAGAGCGGCAAAGGGAGCAGCAGCAGCAGCAGCAGCAGCAGCAGTTTCAAGAGGAGCAAGAGGACTCTCCTCGTTTCTCGCAGCAGGAGGTGCCGCCGTCGCCTCAAAAGCAGCAGCAGCAGCAGCAGCAGCAGCAGCAGCAGCAGCAGCAGCAGCAGCAGGACGCGGACTTTTTGGAGGAATTGACTGCTTTGGTGGTGGAAGGGGAAGTTTGCTGCTGCGATGAAGAGCTGCTGCAGCAGCTAAAGTGCTGCCGCCGTCTCCTTTTTGCTGAAAGAGCTCTTCTCGAGTTGCTGCGCTGCATTCACAGCTCGCAAGCCTGCCCCCCCTTGCCGCTCTTCGAGTCAGCTGCTGCTGCTGCTGCTGCTGCTGCTGCTGCTGGTGCTGCTGCTGCTGCTGTTGAGGTTGGTGCTGATGCGGTGCCGGCGCCGCTGCTGTTGGTGTCGCAGATGCTGTTGCTGATGCTCTTGCTGCGAGCAGCAGCAGCTCAGTGAAAGCCAGATGCCCTGATCTGCTATCGTTCTTATGGCTGCTGCTGCTGCTGTTGCTGTCGTTGCTGCTGCTGCTGCTGCTGCTTTCTATGTGCCTCAGGGGGCTTTGTTTGGAGTGGGAGGAGGCGAAGGCCCTCGGAGCCCCTGAAGGGCTGCTGCGGCAAGCAGCAGCAGACGCATTCAAAACAGCGCACCACATGTACGCTCTACTGCTGCTGCTGCTGCTGCTGCTGCTGCTGCTGTTGGCGATGATGGTGACGCCTCTTTTTGCCTGAGCCCCGTCTCTGCAGCAGCAGCAGCCCGGCAGCAGCGCAGCGCCCACAGCAGCAGCAGCAGCAGCAAAAGTTGCCTCATGCTCCGTCTCCACATGCCATGAACGCTGCTGCTGCTGCTGCTGCTGCTGCTGCTGCTGCAGTTTGCTGCAGGGTTTGTGCGAGCCTCTGGAGCCGCTGCTGGCCCTCAGCAGCTGCAGCTCTTTTCCTCGAGTACAAAATGGCCCTCTTGCTGCTTTAGAAGACCCGGAGGTTTTCGAGAAGCAGCTGCTGCTGCTGCAGGCAAGCAGCAGGCCAGGGTTTAGAGCTAGGGTTTAGGGTCTGGGGCTAGGGTTTAGGGTTTAGGGTTTGGGGTTTGACTGGAGGCGAAGAGCCTGCTAAACAAAGGCTGCTACTGCAGCATTCAAGCGGCAGGGTTTAGGGTTTAGGGTTTTAGAGTTTAGGGTTCAGGCTTCGGAGTTTGGGGTTTAGTTATTAGGGTTTAGGGCTTAGGGTTTAGGGTTTAGGGTTCGGGGGGTTTCGTTCTGCTGCTGCTGCTGCTGCTTTGGCCTTATATACTTTTGCCATAAGCTGTTTATTTCCTCATGCCTTTTGTTTTGTTTTTATTCTTTTTAAATTATTTATTTTGTTTTATTATTAATTAATTTATTTATTTATTTATTTATTAATTTAATTTTATTATTTATTTGCTTCTGTCTTAAGGAGGAAATTTATGTTTCAAGAGAAGCTCAAGTGCCCGATGGGCTGCTGCGGGCAGCCGAGTAAACCCTCAAGCCTAAAGCCTATACCCTAAACCCTAAACCCTAAACCCTAAACCCTAAACCCTGAATTTTATATGGGCAATTTTTGCGCTGCGTCTCGTGCTCCTCTGGACTGGCTCCACAGCAACACAACCAACAGCAGCAGCAGCAGCAGCAGCAAAAGCAGCAGCAACAGCAGCAGCAGCAGCAAGAATCGCCACCGCCTTTTGCTGCTGCTGCTGCTGCTGCTGCTTTCAGGGCTCTTAGCGTCAAAATGGAAAATCTGCTCATAGAGACAAAACGGCTGCAGCAGGAAGCGAAAATGCTCGTAGGCTTCTAAATAAATAAATAAATAAATAAATAAATAAATAAATAAAAATAAAATCTAATTAAATTGCTTGTGCACACGAGCTGCTTCTTTTGCTGCTGCTGCTGCTGCAGCAGCAGCTGCTGCTGCTGCATTCCGCTTGCGTCTGAGAGGATTTCATCTTTTGAGATCTTCCAACTGATTGATTGACTTATTTGTTTGTTTTGTTATTTAATTAGATTAACTAAATTCATTTATTTGTTTTTATTTAATATCTGTTGCTGTGCTGCTGCTTTGTTTGCAGGAACAGCTCAAACGAAAGAAGAAGAAACATAAAAAGAAGCCCAGAAAAGCAGCAGCAGCGCCAGCAGCAGCAGCAGCAGCAGCAGCAGCGCCAGCTGCGGCAGCAACAGAAGCTGCAGCAGCAGCAGCAAAGTGAATGTAGTAATGCACTTGAGCGCTTTAGTTTAAAACGGCATGAAAGAAAGGCCTTGTTTGCTGAGGTGTATGTCCACCTCACAGCTGCCGCTGCAGCAGCTGCAGCAGCAGCAGCAGCAGCAGCAGCAGCTTGTGCAGCAGCAGCAGACGTAACGTCGGGAGCAGCGTTCTTGCTGCTGCCAAGCTGCTTCTAACTGGAAGATACCCAACCCTTACCCCAGCTTAGGTTTTAAAGTTCAAGGTTTAGGGTTTAGGGTTTAGGGTTTAGAATCAGTGAAAGATGCTTAGTGGCTCTGTTGCAGCAGGCAGTTGGTAGTCGTAGGTGCCCACGGTCGGAGACAGGAAGCCCTGCTGCAGTGCAGCAGCAGCAGCAGCAGCGGGGTTGGGTGCAGCAGCAGCAGCAGCAGCACCGTCAGCAGCAGCAGGGGCCCCCACAGAAGCAAAAGGCGCCATCGACAGAATTGCTTCTGCAGTCTTGTGGGCCTCTTCTTCTGGCAAGAAGGGGGTTTGTGGCAGCGCAGCAGTTGCTGCTGCAGTTGCTGCTACTGCTGCCGCTGCTGCTTGCTGCAGCACGTTCTTCGGCTGCAGCAAATCCGCAGGTGCTGCTCCCAGCAAGTCCCCAGCTAGCTGCTGCGCTGCTTCTTGCGGCAGCAAGGGGGCGAGGGTCTGCACAGCTTCTGCAACGGGGGAGAGGCCTGCTGCTGCTGCTGCTGCAGGTGCTGCGGGTGCTGCTGCAGCAGCAGCATCAAGCGCTCCTGCTGCTTGCTGCTGGCTGCTGCCCAGCCCATAAGCTTCAGCAGCAGGAAGCCGGGACCTCAAAAGACCCAGGGGGCCCCACGGGAGGCCCTCAAACTCGAGAGGCAGCAAAGAGAGTTTGGTGGTGCTGCCGTCGCTGCTGCTGCTGCTGCTGCTGTCTCCCCGCAGCCCCAGAGGTCCCAGAGGCATGCCACTCCCCAGGAGCTGCTGTGGCAGCTGCTGCAGCTGCTGCAGGGGCTGCTGCAGCTGCTGAGGTAGCTGCTGCAGCGGCTGCTGCAGCTGCTGAGGTAGCTGCTGCAGCTGCTGCAGCGGCTGCTGCAGCTGCTGAGGTAGCTGCTGCAGCTGCTGCAGAGGCTGCTGCAGCTGCTGCAGGGGCTGCTGCAGCTGCTGTGGCAGCAGCCGCAGCTGCTGCAGGGGCTCCTGCAGGTGCTGTAGAGGCTGCAGAGGCAAAGGAAGCTGCTGCAGCTGCTGCTGCAGAGGCCCAGATAGCGGGGACGGCAGCTGCTGCAGCTGCTGCAGGGGCTCCTGCTGCGGCTGCTGTTGCTGCTGCTGCTGCTGCGGCTGATGTACTGGGAGCTGGGGCAGCTGCTGCGAAACCTGATGCAGCGGAGTGCCTGGGAAGTGCTGCTGCTGCTGCAGTGGCCCCACAGGAAGATCGCCGAGGCTATCTTGCAGCTGTTGCTGCGGCGGGAACTGCTGCAGCAGCAGCTGCTGCTGCTGCTGCTGCTGCGGGTCCAGATCAGGCTGGGGAGGCCTCACGCTCAGCAGCTGAGGCACCGGGATACCCACAAATGAATCTGCTGCTGCTGCTGCAGAGAGAGCAGCAGCAAGCAGAAGGCACGGGCGAGCGGGCATCGCGGGGCTGTAAAGACTCGAGGGTTTAGGGTTTAGGGTTTAGGGTTTAGGTGAATTTGTTAAAAAGCCCCGATTCAAATTTAAGGGTTCAAATAAAAACCAGTCTATTTTGGCTACTGCTGCTGCTGCTGCAGCGGCTGCTGCTGCTACTGCGGCAGTGGCGGAGGGTCCGGGTTCGCCATCAGCAGCAGACTGCTGCTGCTGCTGCTGCTGCTCCTGCCCTATCCCTTCGCTGCCTATCTGCAAGAACTCTAGGCTAAGGATACGCAGTTTTATGTTACAAGCTTGAGGACGAATAAGGTTTAGGGTTTAGGGCTTAGGGTTTAGGGTTTAGCTCTCGTGGGAGCTTACCCTCTCCTGGCCCACGGCGACACCGAGGTGTCCCTGCTAACCCAACTAAGAGCCCTTTCAAAACTATACTCTGTTATTTGCTGCTGCTGTTGCTGCTGCTGCAGTTGCTGCTGCTGCTGCAGCAGAGAGCCGACAGTGTGAAGGGATACGCCGGGCCACGAGGTGTACCTACAGCTGAGACAACGCCAGCAGCAGAAGAAAAAAGCTGCAGCAGCACCGCCAAACAGCCAGTTTAAAGACTTTATGAACAAATGGTTGAAAACTAAATAATTAATTTCAAATAATAAATAAAATGGTCCACAAAAATGCGAAATTTGTGGCCAAATTCCAGGCTGTTCCGAGAAGCATCAGGCTCCGCAGCTGGGAGTTGTGAGTTGGCTTTTCTTTTGTTTCTTTTTGCTGCAAATTTAAATTACAAAAGCAAAAATATAAAAATTAATAAATAGTTTAATGAGACGCAAGTAACTAGTGCCTGAAGAACAAGAAGGTCACCCGCAGTCTCGCTGTGCTGCTGCTCCTGCTGGTGCTGCTGCTCCTGCTGCTGCTGCTGGAAGTCTTGTCTGGCAGCTAAGGGTGGCGGAAACGAGTGTGTAAAAGTGAAAAGTTATTTTAAATTGCTTTTTTAAATTAAGTATAATCTAATTGGCTTCCTTGAGCTGCTGAGGCGCTTGAGAACAGCAGCAGCAGCAGCAGCGAGGGCCGTCAGGAGCAGCGTATTTGAAATGGTTTATAAACTGACCAGATTGTTCTTTGGAACCTCTTCATAAAGCTCTATCCCCTAAAGCCTAAACCCTAGCTCCAAGGCTAAACCCTAAACCCTAAACCCTAAACCCTAAATGGTCAAGAAAGAAGGGTAAGCCATGGAGTGACCCGGCTGTGGGGCATCAGAGGCAAACCCCAGCAAAACCCTAAACCCTAAACCCTAAACCCCAAAGCTGTCTAACTAAATGGCTATCCAAAAAACTGTTTCAGAATTCTAGAGGCAAGTTAAGAAGCTACAAACCCTAAACCCTAAACCCTAAACCCTGCCAGTGGCCGTGGCCGACTGCAGGGCAGCTGAGGTGACCATTCCTCTGGGCAGCAGTTCCAAGTCCTAAACCCTAAACCCT